ATTCTATTCTATTCTATTCTATTCTATTCTATTCTATTCTATTCAAGTGGAACAAAAAAGGTTGTGGTAGCAACATTTACTGTATTCAACCACTTCCTTTGATTGACAAAGGATCTGGAGTAACTCACTGCCGGTGTTACAAGAAGTGTGTGACATCAGTTTCTTGCATCCATGATGTAGAGAGAGCTAGATGAACAAGATTTCTAATCATCCAGAAAGAACTAAACACAACACTTCAGTTTAGGTAAATGCTTTGATTGGACCACAATCAATCTGTTCAACACAATATTCAATATAACTGCTGGTTTTACCACCACCACCCAATTTTAAACATTTTTTAGTGTTGTACAGCATTGAGACAATATTTCTTCCTTGTGCAACTGGTGTCAGAGCCTTTTATTTCTCTTTGCCTGGTAGAGTTAGCCCATTGTGTCTTCAGGTGAAGGAGAAGGGATCAAGCCAGTCATTGAGAACAGCAAAACCTCTCGTCCGAGGTCTTTCTCTTTCTCTCAAGGAAATGTTGGAAAGGGGAAAGTTGTTGAAGATTTAAAATTCTTAAAATGGATTTACAATGGAAACAAGAAGTTTTTCTTTTGGGATTATTACATAATGTTATGGGGGGAAATGGGGCTTTGTTATATATATTGAAGGCAGCAAGAACCATATATGCTCAAAAAAGGAAAGAGGCATAGATTCCCAGAACAGAAGAATGGATTGAAAAGATGGTGGAACTGGTGGAGATGGCATAGTTAATTGCATTCATTAGGGATAAGATAAGAATGTAAATAGTTTTGTTTCCACTTGCTTCTGGACTTTCTCTTTGAAAGAGAGAAAATATGACATTTGATTTTGGGTTTTGACAACTAAGTAGGTCATGGTTATAGGAATGTCTAGTGTTTACTATTTTAGTACAATGTGATGTTATAACTGCATTATGTATCTTAATCAGTGGTGGGATTCAACTTTTTTTACTACTGGTTCTGTGGGTGTGGCTTGGTGGGCGTGACAGGGGAAGGATACTGTAAAATCTCCAGTCAGAGGTGGTATTTGCCAGTTCTCCAAACTACTCAAAATTTCCGCTACTGGTTCTCCAGAACTGGTCAGAACCTGCTGAATACCACCTGTGATCTTAATGCACCAAAAGAAATTGGAAGTCATTGCTTTTTGTTTCCTTCTTTTCTTTTCTTTCCTCAGTTTATTCACTCTTCCTCTTTTCTTTCCCCCTTTCCATTTTCCCCATTGCCTTTATTTCTATTTGTATTTTACATTAAGAAAAAAAATAGTAAAAATGTTTTTTTTTTAAAGGAAAGAAAACCCAGTCCAAACATTTGGGATTCATTAGCTTAGGGAAAAAATGATTAGGCTGGAGAATTATTGGGCTTTATTAAATGATGCATGTTTAAGAGTAAATGAATAGGGATGACTATGATTAACCAGTGAAGAGATTTAGAATAAATAAGAAAAAACACTTCTTTATGCAGCACATAAATAAAAATTATGGAATTCATTACCAAAAACTGAGATAATAGCCAATAATGGCTTTGAAATGGCATTAGATAAATTTGTGACAGAAAGTTCCAGCAAGTCTTGGGAACAGCTATGTCTCCCTCTCCTGCTTGAAAACACCCCAGAGACATCTGACTAACTATTGAGGGAAAGGAAAAGCTGGATTCATGAACTCTGGCCTAATTCAGCAAGCTTTGATCTCATGTTCTTACATACCTCTTTTGAGTAGCTACTGGAGAGATAGGAGAAGTACTTCGTACCATCAGCTCCTCCAAAATCAATAGCACTCCTTAGTTCAAAGATGTCTCCCAATATAGATTACTCATTAAGGGGAGAGCAATGAGAAAGAAGCACTTTGTCTGAAATCAGCCTTAGAGCTTTCTTCACTTTCATCTGACTGCAGCACAAACATTTCCCAACCGTCTCTTTTCCTCATGATGTTCTCCTTCAACTGACTCCCAGCCCTTGCCTGAATTAGTCTGCAGTCATCCTGAACTGTACCAATTTGCAGTGCAGGTACTCCTTGATTTATGACCATAATTGAGCCCAAACAGAGCCCTTTCTGTTGTTAAATGAGACATTTGTTAAGTGGGTTTTGCCCCATTTTGCGACCTTTCTTGCCACAGCTGTTAACTGAATCACTGTAATTGTTAAGTTAGTAACAAGGTTGCTAAGTGAATCTGGCTTCCTCATTGACTTTTGCCTTCAGAAGGCGACAAAAGGTGATCCATATGACGCCAGGTAACCCTGCAACCATCATAAATAGGAGTCAGTTGCCAAGCATCTAAATTTTGATCACATGACCATGGAGATGCTTCAATGGTTGTAAATGTGAAAAATGGTCACAAATCACATTTTTCACCGTCATTGTAACTTTGAATGGTCATTAAAAGAACTGTTGTAAGTCGAGGATTATCTGCATTGTTCCTCCACTTACCCCAACACTGAATTTGCTATGGATTTACTATGACACACTTTCCTCACCATTGCAATAGCCATAGCAATAGTACTTAGACTTATATATTGCTCCACAGTGCTTTACAACACTCTTGTGAGTGATTTACAAGGTTAGCATGTTGGCCCTAACAATCTGGCACTGCATTTTACCAGCCTCGGAAGGATAGAAGGCTGACTCAACCTCGAGCCTCGTCAGGATCAAACTCTAGACCGTGGGCAGAGTTAGCCTGCAATACTGTGTTCTAACCACTGTGCCACCAGGGCTCCTTCCTCACCATACTGTTGATAGCATAGCCTGGTAAACCCAAGGAATAGTATCAACTATTATTACAGTAGTAATTTTTTTACTGGTATAGGCATGCTCTTTTCCCGCCAATCCATAGATGGAATCTTCCAAGTCCATTGTCTTTGGGCAGCAGGAAAATCTAGTTGTTTCCCACAGGCTTTCCTTCTGTACCTTTCAGATTTCTGACCCCACCCTCAGTTTGGATTCCTGGATCAGCCTGAATAACAGCTTACTAGCAATCAGGCTGGACAAATTGCAGATAAAGCGAGAGCAAGAGAGTTTATTTATTTATGTATTTGTTTGTTTTGTCAAGCATTTTTTAGATAACAGATATAATTAGGAACATGATTATGAGTACATGAAATGGGTAAAAATAAAAGAGGACATTACGCACGTTGGTGCTCTTATGCATGCCCCTTACAATGGGTTGAGGGCTTCCAGTTTGAGTTTCTTCGGCAACAGACCGAAATCCGCAATTGTGCACAGTTTTGATCTGTGCTCACTACTGGAGCGCCCCAAGCCGGCTGATTTTGGGGCTAAGCCACCCCATAGAGGTGGTGAAGAGGGCAGAGATTACCAGCAGGGTCGAGGAGAGTCGCATCTCTCCTCCCCAGATGGCCTTACTCCCTTTCCTGAAGGCGGTTGCAGCAGTGGTCAGAAATGGCCACCTCAAAGAAGAACTTGACCAGAAAAAAATGTTCAGGAGGAAGATAAGAAGAGAAATTTGGCTGACCGGGTCAAACTGAAAAAGCAACAATATAAGGTACCCTGGAATTTGAATTATAAAGAATAACATTGCTCCCAAAGAAGACTTTGAAGTGGCGAATGAGAGAGGGAAGGGAAAGGATTTGGGTTTTTTTTTCTTTTCTTCCCTATATTGACAACTAAGAGATTTAAGCAAGAAATAGGCAAAATCTACTTTGACATTAACAGGTATTTAAGCTGAAAGTAAAATGTCAAAGGAACATTTTCTGGATTCTCAAAAACTTTTAAAAGAAGGAAAAAACAAAAGGTCTGGAAAAATGGAGGAGACCACCTGGAAGTGAAAGGAATTAACAGTGAAACTTTAACAAGATTCCTAAAAGATACATTTTAACTGAAACTTTGTAACAAAATAATAGAACCCCAGGAAGAGAAAGTGGAAAAAAGAAGCAAGAAGAAACAGCTTTGGATTATTTGGATTACTTGGTGATTTTTGGATTTTGGGCTATTGGCTTTAAAGGACTAAAATTAATTGGGTGATTGTTTAAAAGTTTTTAAAATGGTATCACTCTTGGAAGAATTGAGAATGGAACTTAAAAAACAGAAAGAAGATGCACAAGAAGGAAGAAGTTCTTTTGGCTTCGTATTTCAATTTTTAGAAATGGAGATCCAGAACTATGAAAAACAACAAGAAATGCCTGTAGAACAAGAAGGGCGGGACAAAGAAGAAGGCATCTTCAATGACCAAGTATTTCTATGCGGGGAAAAGAAAGGAAAGGGGGGAAAGAGAGTGAAAAATTTAAAATTTGAAAAAACAACCCCCAAAAAGAATAGTTTGAAAAGTAATTACAATATTAGGAAGAAACAGAAGAGAGGATTACTGAAGAGAGAATCAGAATTAGAGAGAGAAGGGATCAAAAAGGGAAGGGAGAAGAAGAGGGGGAAGAGGGAAAGGAAAAGAAATTATAAAGGACAGAAACAGGACATAGAGAAACAGGGAAAACGTACAAGGATTAAGGGTATAAACCTATTTAGAAGACACAGAGATAATGGGTGAAAACTTAATTGAAAGGGGGATTCTGTAAGGGTACATAAGATAGTATTGTTATATTAGAAATAGAAATGAACTTTGAAAATATGAAACAAGTGTGATTAAAATGATAGATAAAATACTCATTGTAATGTAATGGAATGTTTAATAAATAAATGAAATAAAGAGAATGAGAGAATGAAATTAGGAAAGGAGGGGAACATTTTAATTATTATTAATGTGTTATAAAAATTTAAGTGAAGAGGAATATGAAAGAAATATGAAAAAATTATGGAAATATTATAAGTGTTCCTAGAAGTATAATATCCTATTGAAAAGAAATGTTAAAGATGTTAAAGATTATAACTAACATTAATGATAGAGCTGGATTGGAATAGAATAAGTATTTTATTTATTATTGTTATATATATACTTTCTCGTTAAGAACTTAGTGCGTATTTTAAGAATGTACCAAGCAGAATTCAACTGGAAGTTATGTGTTATACTGAATGTTATAATTGTAAAGGCATAAATTGAAGTTTAAATAAGAGTTGAAGGGATAAAAATTAAAAGATGCAAAGGTGTCATACTCCAATCAGTAACTACAGGGGAAAATTTTGTTTAATGAGAAAAGAAAATATGAAATTGAAACAGAACAGACAAAAGTATAAATATAATGATTAGAATGATATTGAGACTTAGAAAAAGATATATATAATTGAATTTAGAAAGGAATGGAATAAGTAAAAGTAAGATTAAGAAAACTAAGGGAAGGGAAAAATTATTGAGAAAATGTTAAAATAGTAATAAGATATGGAATAGAACACAAAGATGAATATGAAATTGAATTTGTGTCTGTATGGAGAAGTGATAACTCGGGATCATGCTATTCTCAAAAAAAGAAATTATACTTGTATTATGTTTTGTGAAAACCCAAATAAAAATTTTATATATATAAAAAAAGAATGGGTTGAGGTCAACGGTAGACAGTCTAAGGTTAAAGTTTTGGGAGACCACAGGCTCTCTTCTGCTTCTTCATGAAAAAAAAATTCTCATTGTGCCTATGAGTTATTATTTGGTCTGTTTTTGAAAACAAATTTAGCAGAGCTAATCCAGAAATTGTATCAGGTTTCATTTGGACTCCTTTTGAATGCACCATGCAAAACATTTGTTCAAAACCAGAACAAATTTTAACAGATGGCTAAACCCGTTCATTTAACCTTCTCTGAAAATTCACCTACTACGCCTCCACATCCCAGGTAAAGGTGACTGAGTGGTAGATATTTTCTGAGCAACTGGTGACATTTAGAAGGAGTAAAACTAAACTGGCAAATCAAACAATCCTTTTTTAAAATTTCTTATATGACTTTAAAAAAAATAGCTCAGACCATTTGCCAATATTAATTGTGGCAGAACAGAAGTCACCAGTGAGAGCGTAAAAGTATATATTGACTAGTGTTGAGGTATGTAACACTTTAACTTAGCCATAAGGAAAAACCCTTAAACTAGAATAGATAAATGTATCCACCATATTTGTGCTTATGACACGTCTGCATAATTCTATGCCAAAATTATTCCTCCTCCTCCTCCTCCTCTTCCTCCTCTCCCCTCCATATTTCTCATTCAATATATTTAAAAAGGAATTATATTGAGATTTCTTGTTTGGGGAGAAGAAAATTTCAGCAAAGTTTCCAGAGATAAACTGGAATGTGTGAAAAGCATGTCCTAGTGAGTCCATAAGTGCCCCATCTTTCCTTTTTTAATTCTATCGCTTGCAGTCTGATGTCTTCTAGTCTTCCTATGCATCAATTAAACCCTACAAGAAGACTACTAAGAAAAACCTTGCTAGGAGAATTCTTTCCTCTTTCTCAGGGGAAAAATAACTTTCAGAAAGCCAAGCTGACACAGTGGTAATTTTCTAAGCATTCACTCATAAATCTATTCCCTCTTGACACTATCTGAAAGGGCAGATTTCTTTTAAAAATACATAATTTATGTTTAAATGGTACTTCTCTTAACATTTATTCTCTATTTTTTTCTCCCAAAGTACAGAATGTTTAATTTTTTGATTGTTAATTATTTACTTGAATGAATTATTTCCTACAAATAAGAATGACATTGGAACATAAGAACATGTGAAGCACCAGTGGAGATACAGTTCTAACTTACCCTTTTGCAAGTTGCATCTATTTCACAAGCTCCTGTCCAGGAGTGGGATTTTACCGGTTCTGTCCACCTCTGTAGAACCGGTAATTCTGAAGAGCAGCAGACAGAGAACTGGTTCTATATCTGCTGCTCTTTTGGCCCACCCACCTGCCTGGGCTCTTACCTGACCATTATTTCCTGCTTTTTCAACCACAGCTGCTTTGTGCGACACAGCTACGGTTGAAAAAGCGGGAAAAAGGGGCTTTTCCAACCACTGCACACTTGCACGCAGCACTGCTCAGCTGTCTGGGCAGCTCAGCAGGTCGTAAATTGCACTCACATGACTTGCGTGACTCGCGCATGCACCTGCAATGCAGAGCAACAGAACTGGTAGTTATACCAGTCGGATCCCATCCCTGCTCCTGTCCCTTAGCATTACACCCCTCTAGAAATCCTCTTTTGCCCTGCCTTTTCTTTTTTTGTGCACCCAAATTCCTGTAAATGAATCAGTGCTCAGCCACTCACGAATGGTTATGTTTGTGGAAAAGGTGCATCTTGACAAAGGCATTTCCCTCCCGAGGCTCAGACCAGGTGCAGTTCATATATGATTTGTAGTCATTGGAACAGCTCAAGGATTCCTTCAGTCGGCTCTCTAAAAGAAAAGAAGAAGACATTAAAGGGCTATCTCGGGTTTTGCTCCGCAAGAGCAAAAACAGCAATGACAAGAAATGAAAATAAATGTTTTTTAAATGTTATTTATTTGGGTATTTAAGCACTATTAAGGAATACAAATTGCCTGTTTTTTCAAGTGCACCATTTTGAGAAAGACAGAAAGTTTTTTTTAGAGGGCTTGTCTAGATATGCACAAGCACATATCCAGAAATTTTTATTTTATTTATTTATTTATTTGATTTGTCCATCACTTACAAGAGAATAGGCATAAGTATAAATATGAGTAAGAGGCTTTGCAGAAGTCTATGTAAATTGCATCTATAGCTATACCCTGGTCAAGTAGAGTTTATTTATTTATTTATTTATTTTGGTTTGTCAATTGCTTACAATATAATAGGTATAAGTAAAAACATAGTTATGAATACATGGATACATATAAGAAAAATAAAAAAAATAAAAGAAACAATAGGACAGGGATGGTAGGTACATTGGTGCACTTATGCATGCCATATGTTTTTGCAGTGTAGGAGTTGAAGATTGCAGGACAATTTTTTCCTGAAACCAAATTGTTTTTTGGAGAGTAGGTTATTTGACTCTAAGTGGAGGTTCATTTTTTTGTGTTGAGTCTTTTTTTTCAAGGTTAGTTAATCTTGCTTTTATAATGTCCAGGGATGCTCCTATGGTATCAAGGGATGTCATTCGTGTTTCTATGGTATCAACTCTATCAAACAGGGCAATATATTTGTCCAGTTTGGGTTTACATGGTGGACAGAAATATGAAAATGCATGGTTGGATGATTCTAGGAATTGAGTCATTTGCTTGGGTAATCCCAAGCAGCTATGGTGAGCGTAGTTGTCACATAGGGAACATTTGGTGGAATTTTCATTATCCTTTAGAGTTTCTTTACATATAAAGCATGTGCAAGAGTCTTGTGGTTCATTGGTGGGGATTTCTTTCTCTTTGGGTTGTGGTTTGGCATTGGATTTTTCCCCCCTGCATGGTAGGTTTGTTGAGATAGTGAATTGATTAAATTGCTCAATCAGACAAAATATTTGGGTAATCAATATAGCCAATACCACACCAATTAATCAAATACAATAATCACACTAGTCAAATAATTTCACAAAACAAGAATCAGCCTAATCAATTATTTACACTAATCACCAATCACACTGGTCAATTAAATTCACTAAATCACTACTTTTACTATTCAATTAAATTACACAAATCGCTGATCTTTTACACTGATCAGTAACCACACTATTTGCATTAAATACTCTAATCTCACTAATCAATCAAACAATAAGTCAATTAATCAATTGATTAATTATTTTATAGAAATTGTTTTAGAGACATCATTATCTAATCTTTGATATAGGTCATGAAGTAGAAAAGTTATAAGTTTTGAGGTAATGAAGTAATCAGTGTTTCAGTTTTGTTTAATTTTATACCATCCCACAAAGTTTTTCCATTCTAAAATTGCCCTTTAAAATTCAAACGGAACAGAAAGAAAAAACATAAAGACCCAGGGTAAATATAACCATAAAGACTGATAAGAAGAATAAGTTGAATGTATCAAAAGACTTGGGGAAAATAAACATGTATGCCACAGAAGGAGAGGGAAAGCCATCGCTGAGAAGGCTTGCTCCTAGCTGTCCCTGCCCATATTTAAGCATGAGAGAGCATGTGGAGCAGAACCTTAGAGGATGGTCTAAATGCTTGTGCAGCATTCAGTTTTAGAATCCAATTCATCCCTCATCTGATTAATATTTTCCAGTTGTTGACCAAGGGCTTTGTATGAACCAGCAAGGACACCAATCTCCTAACTGATAAAAGATGCCTAGAATGCAAACCTTTTCACCAGCTCTGAACATACAAATACATCTTTTCACACGCACACAGAAAGCCACCAGTGAAGTAAAATCATTGCTCTTCTCCAGGCTTGTGTAGCCATACATTTTTAAAAAATTCAACAGGGAGGAACAGTTTGCATCTTTCAAATTATATGAGCTTCTTTCTGCCAAAATTGAAAAGCCAGTGCCTATGTTTGGATACATGCATGTTAACACTCTTATCTGAGTGTAAACTTAAATAACATGAACAGTACAAGTAACTGGACATGACAAGTTCACATAGACATCCCAAGAGAAGGGACACAAAATTGGACAAATTGCTCACTACTGTAGGCATAAATGTTACAGTAGAAGGCTTCTCACGAACAGTGTAAATGGCAAAGGGTGGAGAAGAGTGTGTCTCTGTACCTTGTATGATGTTTTGGGTAGGAGCCCTGCTGGGAGAAAACGAGGAAAAGTGTACCAAAGATGAGGGGCTGGTAAGGCTGGCCAAAATATTTTGTCCCCTGAAGCTGAGAACTTGCTTCATTCTTTTAATTTCCATAAAAATAAGTCATGTGTTTCTATTTACTCATTGTATTTGAACACCACTGTAATCTAGACAGAATCCCAATAATTAACATTCACATACAATAACATGTTTAAAACATCCATGTTATAAAGCTAAAAACCCCAGATTAAATACATTAAAAGAATCTTTAAGAAACAAAATAACCCTGTAATATAATATGGTGGTCCAACATAATTTCCATTGACCAAACACAGGCAGGAGCATCTAAATTTCCATGCACCCTTTGAAGAGGTCCATTTCAATAACTTCCAAAATAATAGCAGAGGTGATTCAAGTCTCCATTGGGAGACTGTTCCAAAGCACAGGTGCTTCTACTGAGAAACTATGATTCTGAGCACATTACTGCAGTTTTACCCATTACTTCACAAAAGTGGGAAACTAACATTCTGCAAAGATTATATCAGTTTGATTCTGATAGAAAAAGACAGCCCTGGAAGTATCCAGGTGCCAAACTTTGTAAGCTTTATTGAATTATATCCAGAAACCAATTGACATCCAATACAGAGCTCATAACACTGATGTAATATGCTCAAAGTGAGGAATGCCAGCTAATAAATCAGCCATCAAATTCTGCCCTAATTTAATGTTCTGGATGGTTTTCAAAGGCAGCCCTATATAGAGAATCTTGCAGTAGTCTATACAAGTAATTGCAATGGACCGAGTTGTCATCAAAGGTCTCTCTTGCTCCAAGTAGGGCTGCAACTGGCAAGCCATCCAAAGTTAGACAAAGATGTTGTGAGAGTCCACCTGCCCATCCAATAGTAGCCATAAATTTAGGAGAACCTTCAAGTTACAGTCTAGCTTCTTGAAGGGTAGAGCTTCCTTTTCAAGAGACAGAACTGGAATTGGCAAAGCACATCACTGAACAAAGCAGCAATGCTATCCTATTTGGGTCCAGATTTAGCCTGTTTTGTCCCATTCAGTTCTGGTAATTTCCAAGGACAAGTGTGTACACATAAATATCATCTGCATACTAATGGTACCATATCCTGAACTTTCAGATGACATTCTAAGTACATTCATATTAATGTTGAAGATTGGCGGTTGAGGGAAAGGGGGAGAAATCCTACAGTACCCCACAAAGAAATGATTACCTAGGCCCCTCTGTCCAATACAACCACCATTTTAAACTACCCACTAAAGCAGGAGCTCAAGCCTTTGCATTTGGTCCAGAGGAATATTATATTCATGGTAGAGGCTGCACAGATGGGATCTCAGATCCCAATTAAAGTTATCTATTGTGGCAATAGTACAGTCAAACCCCACGCAGGTGGGAAAGATCAGGGAAGCAAGAATTACACAGATTTCAGTAGGATAACTTTAATACTAGATTAAGATAGATAATATTGTAAATTATAAAAGACATCTCCCACTTTTGTTTATAGCATGTTAATTAAGGTGGAATTTCTCTGAATTATTTAAAAAGATTTTTCCTAAGTTTCTTTCAAACTGGGCTAAATGGCCATTTATGAGATAAGCTGTCAATCAACTCATGCTTTTCTCTTGATAGTTTACATCTATCCTCTTTCCATTCTTTTCCAAACCTCCTCACTAGGCAATAGTTGTCAGTCACATTCAAGGAGTGCCTCTTAAGGAAAAAGGACCATTACAATCCTATTGAAATCTGCTGGCACCATTCCTTTCTGGAGTGAAGTTTTGATAATCTCCCAGTTTCAGCTTGTCACACACTTTCTCCAGCTCCACATAAGAGCTAGGTTCCAGCCCATAAATAACTGAGGACATCCCAAAAAGCATCATTAGAATCAGAATTCCAGATCACATGGCAAGACATTACTTCAGTTATCACATTAACTCCCCACCCACAAACAGTCAAGATTTTTGTTAATTTGAACAATTTATCAGCAAAAAGCTGCACAAAATTGTCTCAGGGGACAGGCAGGGGAATCGCCACCTCAGAAGGGAATTATCAACATTCTCAAGAATGTTGCTATTAGGACTATGATGGTGAGTCTTCTCTATTCAGCCACCATTTTTGAAACAACAATACCTCAAAGATCAGGGTAGGTCAACATTGCTAGGATTTCAGGAGGGATTCATGAGGGGACACAAGTTTTGGTCTCTACTGAAGAAGGGATATTTGTATTGGCCAGAATTGGTGTGACTTCAAACTGAATGAGAATCTTTCCAAGCATGAATCTCACATAGTTCTTTATGGCAAGATTTATTAAGAAGAATGGAATGGAGTAAGAATTCCAGTGACTGAATTAGACTATATTTAGCATCAATTTACCCCATGGACATGATGGTTTGGGGGGTTTTTTCTTAATGGCTTTCCCATTATCAGGTAAGGATATAGTCTTTTCACTAATAATGAGGAGGCTTGCAACTGACTATTAATCTAAGAGCCTCCTGATTGTTTATCAAGAAAAAAAATGAGAAGGAGCAAAGATGGAAGTGAAGAGTAAAATGTATCAATAGAAAACCTACCTCGAGCTTCAATGATGATAACAGTGAGTCTTAAAGCCAGAGCAATGCTGTAGAGCTTCATGTTAGTTAAACACTCTTTGTTGCCTGGAGAACTCACCTGTGGGCAAAATAGATTTTTTTAAACAAGGTACTGTTGAGTGATGGCTACTTTCCCATTGCTGCTCTTTCTTCTTCTGAATATGTGATTAAAACATTCAGTACAATTAATTAAACTCCACTTAATTAATTCCCAAATTATTCTTTTTCATTTCGCTTGCCCATACTCCCTTGCTGCTTCTTAACAAATTGCATTTTTGCCACAAAATCACCAAGACTGGGAGACTGAGCTACTTGTTTGCCAAGGAAGTTTGCTATTGGATCCATTCATTAAAAGAAACAAGAAGACAAAAATAAAACAAAACTTCTACAGATTCCCAAATTCCCTTCAACTTCCCAGGATTTCTTCAAAGATAGTTAGCCTTAAAACCTCCAACCAGATTAGCACAGATGAAAGGCAGAATCACAATTCTAAGGTTAATTCTCTACCATCAGAGAGAACTGTTCTAGTTTCTCTTTATATCGTAGACCAGTATCATCTTTTATAGAGAGAAGTGAGAAAAGATAGAAGAGACAGAAACACTTCTCTTCCTCAGAGCAATTCTCCATACATGTTTCTGAGAATTCCAGATCAGACCAGTTAGACATGACCCCAAAGGCCCTGATTCTGTGAGGCTGATCCTCAACCTCCATTAGCTGTCAGATCAGAATAAGGGATGTACTTGGGTTCACTTCAACATCAGTGGGGTTAATATTTGTTATTTGTCTAAAGACTCTCATTTTATGGATTTTGTTATTAGAGCAAATAATAGAGTGAGCTGTCTTTTGATTTAATTTTTTTGTTTTTAATGTCTTTTTTACTTTTGAATGCTGTCCAGAATTTACTGGAGATGGGTAGCGAATGAATTTACAATTATTAGATTGGTCACACATGTAGCTAAATGATTAGATTGGGTTTTTATTCACCTCTCAGAATAACAGAGTTGGAAGGGACTTTGGGGTTCTTCTTTATAGTCCAACCCCCTGCTCAAGCAGGAAACCCTATACCATTTCAGATAAGTCCAAGGAGATAATAAGTTAAACACAAAGCCAACTGGGTGACCTTGGACCAGTCACTCATTCTCAACCCTAGGAAGCAGGTAATGGCAAGCCACTTCTGTAATTCTGCAAAGACTTGTCCAGGCAGTTGCCAGGAATCAACATCGACTCAAAGACATGCATGTAAACATATACAAAACAGCAATAAAAATAGTTTGAAAGTATTGACATTTTCTCTGACATAACATAACAATATGTGGTAACAAATACTAATAAGCACTCACCTTCTCATTTATTTATTTTTCTTCTTTTTGATGATAGTTTCAAACTATACAATCAGTAGTGAAGGATTAAGCTTTTTACTCCATGTTACCACCCCTGCCAATTAAAACTTTTCATAACTACAGGAATCTTCAAATGCAATCTTGAAGAGAAGCGTTGATAGTGTAACCATACAGTTTGCATGTTGATCAGTTTCTGGTGAAGTATCATTTGTTTCTTTCTGTTTTTCTTTTCTGGTAGTTTCCTTTTTTCAAAGTAGCATTTCAACATCTCTTTTGCTTACGGAAGAGAAACTAAATGTTTCATGTTTATAATAATTGCATAACATTTTAAAGAAAGCATTGTACTTCATCAAAGAATCTAACAATCTGGTGTCCAACCTATGACCCATGGGCCACATGCAGCCCTGGACAACTAATAATGTGACTCCATAAGACCTCAAAAAAATAAAGGAAGTTTGTTTTTCATACACATTAACTATATGGCATATTTTATAGGCGGCCCAAGATAATTCCTCTTCACTCAATGTGGCCCAGGCTAGCCAAAAGGTTGGCTAAGCCTGATCTAGACTATCTATTATAATCAAACTATAATTTTATTGGACAAAATGATTGGAGAAAAATGTGATGTGATTCATAATATTTACATAATATCCTTACGTAGATAACACAGATTATATAGTTTATACCATTTCTTAATGATATCAACATTCAAGTGACAAAAGTTGCAACATTAGAGTCACTAAAATGAAATATTCTTAGGTTAGAGAGATTGTGGGCAGGACGGTTTCGCACAATTGTCCATTAAAATGTGGTTTCAAAGTATATTGGTTTTTACAAAAAAAAAATCCGCATAGACTATTCAGTTTTTCTTCAAAGTGATGATGTATACCTAGCTGCTTTGCACATATTCACTCAGAATCTGCCAATTTTTACCAAGTTATTAATCTAAGGTTACCGTTTCAAACAATTCTGAGTTAAATGACAAGTTGTCTAAAGCAGCAGTCACCAACTGGTGGGCCGTGAAAATTTTTTGGTGAGCTGCAGAGAAATCTCACCCCAAGAGCACCCCCCCCCAAAGTAATTAATCCAGGCTGCGCAGAAACACAAGTGCCTGCACCACCCACATGCCCCGCAGGAACCCTCCCCACCCACTTACTCCTTACTTGCCTGCTAAATTTCTATTTTTCCTTTTTCCAACCATCTTCTGTTCTGCTGTGCCGGAAGATTTAGATTAGCTAGGAAGCAGAAAATGGTTGGATTTTTTGCTTTCCAGCTAGTCTTTAGATCTTCGTCTCTGCTTTTAAGTACAGCCTGACCTCCCTTAGGACTGAAGGTTTGCTTGCAAGCAAAATCAGTGCAGTCTCACGGCAAGCAAATTTGAGAGACTGAGCTAGCCAATGGCAGATAGATAGATAGATAGATGATAGATAGATAGATAGATAGATAGATAGATAGATAGATAGATAGATAGATAGATAATTGAATGATTCTGTGAGCAACTCAATCTGCCTGCTTTGCCTGATTTTTATAAAAAAAATCAATATTTACATGCATGGTGTGTTGTGAGTTAATTTTGTGAGTTTACTTGCGAGCAAATTTTATGTGACAGACTGAGCTAGCCGATGGCAGATAGATAGATCTCTGAATGAACCTGTGATTCCATGAGCAACTCAATCTGCCTGCCTGCTTTGCCTGATTTTGGGTAAAAGTTGCTCTTTTTTAATAAAAAAATTCAATATTTATCTAAATATTTATAATATTTACATACAAGCCATGCCCAGCCAGTCACATGACCACCAAGCCACACCCACAAATTAGGCCACACCCACAGAACCAGTTAGTGGTCCCTGGGTTCTAAAATTATGAGTTTGATGGTCCCTGAGGTCCAAAAGGTTGGCGACCCCTGGTCTAAAGACTGATAAAGTTGGTTACATAAAAATGTTATAAATCTTGGTTACATAAAAATGTTATAAATAAGAAAAAGTTATTATATAATCATTCATAGGAGAGAGGGGGAGGGAGGGAGGGAGGGAGAGAGAGAGAGAGGGAGAGAGAGGGGGGGCTTAGCTAGCAACTGTGAATCAAACAAGTGTTACCCATATTTCATTAAGTAGTTTTTATAAATTCACTGTTGAATATCTCCTTAAAGCCCTGCTATATTCTCTGCTCTACTAAACTTTTAAAACATTTCTTTTAATTTAAAAAACTGAATCAGGAAGCTGGCATTCTGAAAAATAAAACAACTGTTTGGTTTTTATAAAATGATCTGACTCCATTAAACAATAATAACTTAATTTGGAGTTTCCGGTTTGTCGGCTTCGCGAGCGGTAGGGATTCGCGAAGCTGCGCGATCCCTGCCGCGCTAGCCGTTTTGGGGCTCCGATCCGGACGGGTGCGGAGCAAGGCTGCCCTGCAGGGGTAGCTGAAGGTAAGGGGGATCCGGAGGAAGGGTCTGGGGTGTTGCAGACCCCCTCCCTGGCCGGCAGAACCCCCTTTTACCAGGACGGTGCAGCGGCGGTCCGTAATGGCCACCACAAAGAAGTCGGCAGCCGGGCAAGTATGCGCAGGAGGAAGAAGGGAAAGTTATTAAAAGTGAAAGTTATTCTTGGTCGACCCAGGGCTTTGAGATTCATCTAATTTAATTCCTGGAAAAGATGGTTTTTTGATGATTTTTTCCACAAGAGAAAAAAAGCGGCAATTTTTGAGGTGCTGAAAGGAAAGTTTACTCTCCCTCCCGACGGAATTAAGCCGGAAGGGAGAGGACAAAGAAAATATATAAATCTGGATCTTGTTGGAGGAGATGCCTTAAAGACTTGAGGACAGAAACATAATTTTAAAAAGGCTTTAAAATACACATTTGGACTCTCTCTTTTTTTGTTTGATACCACCCCTGGAAGAGGAAGGGGAAATTTGGCTTGCTTGGATTTATTGAGGATGGTGGACTTTGGGATTGTTTTACCTTTCTCTCTGAATATCTGGTTGGTGTAAGAAGAAAGAGGAATAAAGAAAAGTAAAGATTTATTTATAATGGCTTTTCCTTCTGAGGACCTGAGGGATGAATATGAGCAAACAAAAGCAGCCTGTAAAGATGGTATGGAAAAAGCTTTTCTATTTCTAGAAATGGTGCTGGTTAATTACCAACAGACAATGAAACAGATGGAAACAGAAGAACAACAACAAGAAAAAGACGAAGACGCCATCTTTATTGAATTTCAAAACTTATCTAAGAAAGAAGGAAGGAAGAGAGCAAGGAAAATGAAGGACTTAAGATCTAAAAAAACATTTGAGAAAGAGGAAAATATGATGCAAAGTAAATATAATGATAGCAAACAAGAGAAAAAGGGAACACAACAGAGAAGGGATCCCAGCAAGGCAGAGGTTAGAAGAAGAAGGGGGGTAGGAAGATTTGGTGGGGGAAGAAAGAAAGGGGAAAGGCGGAGAAAAGCCTCAAAGTTTTAAAATTGGATGGGAGAAGAGGAATTTTTTTTAGGGACAAAGGATGAAATATAAACTTCTGTAAGAAAGATTCTGCTAGGTACAGAAGATGGTATTGTAACATTTATATTTGAAATAGTAAATTAGAATGGTTTAAGATTTAATAAGAAATTAAAATGTTGAAGTTTTTTAATAATGATTGATTTTTAAAATGTAATAAAATATTGAAGGAAAGGAGGATACAATGTATTTAAACATTTTTGGTGGATAGAATGTACCAAGCAGAACCGAATTGGGTATTTGTTATGTTGAATGTTAATTTTACTAACTAAGGGGGAGGATAGAAAGGCATCATACTCTGATTAGTGATTTCAGGAGAAATTCTTTTTATTATAAGAAGAGATAGAGGGATAATGAATGGGCAAAAGATATAAATATAATGATTTAATTAAGATGGATTAAATAAGATAGAATTGTGAAGAGTGAAATGCGCTGCCCATACAAAGAGAGGTAACTGGGGCCAAGGTACTTTACTAAAAGATTTTTTATATGTTTGTTTGTGTTTGTTTGTGTTTTATGAGAATATTGGGGAAATTTTTGTGGAAATACAGGAAAGATTTAAATATGTAATGATTTGTTTGTTGTTGAAATTAATAAAACTTGTTTTTAAAAAAAATAATAACTTAATTTATTTACAAGAACAAAATTGTACAAGTGCTTGCATATCTGAATTTACTTTTCTTAGCAGGAACACTCTCTCCAGCAGCTTATTTTCTCCCAGGGTTCTTCCTTGTCATATAAAGAACTGGCTTCTCCTTCTTCCCCTGTTCACTAACTAGCATCAGAGTTCATTACATTGCTTTTCAATTCAATCATGAACCTTATGTAACCTTCAAAAACCCAGTGCATGTTTTCAGTGTCCTAACTCTGAGGTGATGAATAGGCTGGCAATCACATCTAATTAATTTAAAGATCATTCTGCCAGAATAAACAGTGGTATTTTTATCTGCATAAATAGTTTCATGCAAACTTTCAACTGGGCTGCATCTGGAAGTTGTAAGTTTTATGCCTAAAGATGAGATGCTCAAATCTGATGGTGTGGTTATATTGCTATTGTTATCTCTTAGTAGTTCAATAATTCCATCTGTTGCCAAGTTTACCTTGCTTAACCTTGTTTCTGTACTAATTGTAAATGTCTTCTGCGTTTCTTAATGTTACCTCTCTTCATCTTGAGAAAATAACATTGAAATTCCTACATAGTTGTTGGTTAAGACTGTGCCTTTGACAAAGAATACTCTTTGTGATATCTTCAAAGTGGAATTTATAGGCTGCTTTTGCATTTGATGCATAGACCTTGACATTGATTCAATTAGGGTGTATGTTTATTTCCAAGACTGGAAATAAGATTCATAAGTCATAATTTAATAAAGCTTGTTAATGCTAGAATTTATTTCATAGTTTGAACTACTTTTTCTGTTCCATTACTGGCTTATGAGTGGCTGGGACTGATTGTAATGTGTCTAAAATTGTATTTCTTTATAAATAGTCCAAGCTCTTTTTCAATGAACTGTGGGACATTAGGATATCCATAATTTGCTGGTATGTATTTTAAACAATTAGTAACAGCAGTTCTTGTAACATCATTCATGTTTGCCATATCATGGTCCCTGGAAAAATACTTTAAAGCAGGGGTATCAAACTTACGGCTGGCAGGCCAGATGCATCATGTCTGGCCACACCCACACCC